TTATTAAGAGTCTATAGTCCATTTTTATTTATGCTACCTTTACCCCATTGATACACCCCTTTTTATTTCAGATCTCTTATTTGCAGTCAGGTCTTGAGCTGCTACATTTGAAACAGTTAAGTTATGAAAACTTGCAATTGAGCTTGATCAGCCAAGTCTTTAAACTTGCCCATGCGACCACATGTATTAAGCAAATTTTGTCTTAAGCGACCAATGTAAACCCCCCCCAAGATCTTTTCCTATATAATTATCTTTAATGTATTTTAAAGTGACTTTTGCTCAACACTATAATCGGCTACGGCAAATGATATTAATTTTTTCATCAAACAACCACTTTTAAATTGTAAAACATGGATTTTACTGCAGACATATTCTAAAAGTGCTCCTACCTGTCAAATGTTTGTGTTTTTAGTGAAAGCCGCCTCGTGATTTCACAAATGTCAACAATCATAACAAAATATATAAATGTGAGAAGAACCGTATTTCCCAAACAGTTTTTAGCGTATGCAAATCAAGTTAATTATAGGTGTAACATGTATAATCGAATATAATCGATAGAACAATACAACACCCTGACCTTACTGAGATTGTGTATACGCTTCACTGTTGATATTTTGACTGCATTGAAATGACATTGAACTTTAAAAATCAGCAATTAAATCAGTTACAGTCAGATGTAGTTTGTTTCTTTGAATTGAAAATCAACACAGAAAAGATTTACACAAATTAGATTTTACGTGTCGGGGACAAGGAAAAGTAACGGAATACAATAGCTTGAAAATTTGAGAAAATGTCAAACATGAAGGTAATGGATCAAAGCTGTTTTGTCAATATAAATATCAGAAAGTTATTTTTTTTTATTTGAACATCTAATGAGATGATCACAGTGTTATAATTATTAAACATTTATATAAATGAAGTTGAAAAAACTTCCCCACTGCAGAGGAAAGATGATATGTATAAAGTTTTCCTTTGTTATCATGCCTTGTCTTAAGAGATCGTTTTGTTAAGTGACCATTTCTAGAAGGTTTAACATTATAGAGGCATAATTAATAGGTCCTCAGTCAAGTCACATTCCTATTTAAAGAAAAAGTTATAAACATGATACTAAGGTATGGCTCTATTTGACCCATGTTCATGATTTTCATAACTTAGGCAATGCCATATTAAATATGTATCACTTTAGCCATGTAGCCAAAGGATAGGCCATTGATTTCAAAGGGGAAGTTTTATACATGTATAGGCAAAATCATAACTGTTCCAATAGAATTTCTTAAAACTTGGCATGTTCTTAGGCTATGATAAAGCTAAACTGGAACCATCACTGAAGATGAGTAAACACCCCCATCAGCAACTTTGACTTTTTGAAAATTAAGTGGTCTGAAAAAAATATTTGAACTCAACAATAGTAAAAGAAGTATCAACTGTGTACAAAAAATTATTTCAATTAATTGAAACAATAACCGTGGTCTTCATATAAGCTGCTTATTATACATAAAGTTTGATTACACTATCTCATTCCTAACTCTAGTTATTGTCTGAAAACCATTTTTCTTTATTTAGTAGGGGTGACCTTGACCTCAACCCTAGGGGGTCGAAATAAAATACCACCGGGGTCTTCATATAAGATGTTATAACCCAAAATTGATTAGAATATTCCATTACTAACTCTAGTTTATGTCCGGAAACCATTTTTCCATTTTTAGTTATGGTGACCTTGACCCCAGGGATCCAAATGCAATATCAGCTTGGGTCTGCATATAAGCTTGCTATACACCAAGTACAATACCTTATTCCAAACTCAAGTTGTCGTCCAGAAACTATGATGTGGACCGACCGACAGACAAGCTGACTGCTATATACCCCCTTCTTTTGTGGGAGTTATAAAAATGTGGGCCACCATCCTTTTTACTGAGATCTCTAAAAATTAGACATATTTGCCCATAAAAAGGGCACAATACCAACTTTTTGCTTAATTTATATAGTTTAATTCTGTTTGAGTCAATGTAAAGAATAAAGAGTAGATTGACTTTTTTCCACTGTTTGTGAGATTTTTCTTAAAACAATAACCTATTTTTTTATTCAAACTGAAAAAAAATAACAGAAACAAGAGCTGTCACCCATGTGACGAATGCCCCCGAAAAGGTTTTCTTAAGCATGCAGGTATTATGAAAAGAAAAGAGAATGAAAGTAACTAATTGCTGAATATTGTTCTTTGTATAATTGTACCTGTAATCTCTAATTGTGATAGCATGATCCTTCAAAATATAAGTGTGACCTTGACTTTTGAAGAAGGGACCAAGTTCCTGGACACAACAAAATGTTGTTATGAGATAAAATTTGTGCCAAATTATTTCAAAATCCCTCAATGCATGATAAAGTTACAGTCTGGACATATAAGTTGTGTAAGTGGGGATACACAGACAGACTGACATGAGCCTTAGTTGCCACACATTGTCTTGATGTGGTAGATATTTGTGCCAAGTTATTTTAAAATCCTTCCATGCATGACAATGTTACAGTACGGACATGAATGTGTATCTTCAAACTCTTCTGGAGAGAATGAGTGTGATCTTGACCTTGAAGGTAGAGACATGAGTACCTTCGAACTATAAGTGTGATCTTGACCTTGAAGGCAGGGCTAGCACTGGCAATTTTTTACTTTGAGCCAATTTTTCGCGGCGAAAATTGCCTGCCTGTATTTTATTTTCAAATCAGGCAATGGTACGGCAAGGGATATTTAGAAAAGCATTAACTATATCCAACTTAATTTTGGTAGCTACATTTTTATTATATTAACAAATCTTACATATATGAGTATAATTTACAGTCAGTAATCATAATTTTAAGCTTAGAGGTCAGTAACTATCACATTTGCCAAAAGTTACATGTAGGCTGCACTGGCAGCAAGGTTCCCTTAAAATCTAAGTCTGTGGCATGGTAGTGACATAAGGTCAATCTTTTTTTTCCAGGAATACTCTGTATGTCAAATAAATTCCTTCTCAATTTTATATTTTTGGAGCCATAATTAGGTCAGATTTCAGGGCCAAAATACCCTTCTTTGTAGTGGCCCAATAAAGGCTGTTTCCCCAACCAAACTAGCCTCTTTTTTTCCCCAGTTTGGTCCTCAAAATCCCCCAGTATTTTGAAATTTCCCATAGAATATAGAACAAAATTAAATAAGGTCTTTTACTGCCTTATTAGTATTTCCCACTGCTTTTTGCTGTCCTATTTTGAAAACATTCCCACTGATTTTTGTTTTTCTATTATGAAGAACTTGTTAAAATTTTGTGTTAAATTTGAGACCCCTTTTTTCCCCAAGAAAAAGGCCGAAACCCCTTCCTCAAAAATGGTGTTTTGGCCCTGGATTTTATTGGCAATAACACCCCCTCCCACCACCAAAAAAAAAAAAAAAATCAACAACAATAACTCTATCAACTCGTAATTCCTTAGATCTGTTTATTAACAACGATAAAATTTACCGGTCAAGTTGCCAACTACATAACATAATTTGTCGCCATATCATACCCAAAATGCTGATTTGATTAGCGATAATCTTGAGATGCCGCTAGTTATTGTTTCATATTGAATATTAAGACCAATTATTCAACAATCTGCCACAGGTATTTTTCACACCAATTAGTGTCGTATTTATCAGCTGATAAACATGTAAACATACCCTGAGGTCAGTGTATTAGACTGTGTTACTGTTCATATCAATATTTCATTCGGAACGGAAGTTACAAATATAAACCAGTCAATGACCCACAAAAAGTAGACTGTGTTGCTGTGTTTTGAGATAAGAAGTGATAAAACGGAAGTTGTAGATGGAAAACCAGCTGTGTACTTTTCCATTCTTAAAATAGAAAATGCTAAATTTAGACTGGAGATTCCAAAAGTCATACAGTTTGAGCCAATCGTGATTTTCTTGAGCCAATTTAATTATTTTGGAGCCAATTTGCTCATTGGCTCCTGCCAGCGCGAGCCCTGTGAAGGTAGAGACATGAGTACCTTCAAACTATAAGTGTGATCTTGACCTTGAAGGTAGAGACATGAGTACCTTCGAACTATAAGTGTGATCTTGACCTTGAAGGTAGAGACATAAGTACCTTCAAACTATAAGTGTGATCTTGACCTTGAAGGTAGAGACATGAGTACCTCCAAACTATATGTGTGGTCTTGACCTTGAAGGTAGAGACATGAGTACCTTCAAACTATAAGTGTGATCTTGACCTTGAAGGTAGAGACATGAGTACCTTCAAACTATAAGTGTGATCTTCACCTTGAAGGTAGAGACATGAGTACCTTCAAACTATAAGTGTGATCTTGACCTTGAAGGTAGAGACATGAGTACCTTCGAATTATAAGCGTGATCTTCACCTTGAAGGTAGAGACATGAGTACCTTCGAACTATAAGTGTGCTCTTGACCTTGAATGTAGAGACATGAGTACCTTCAAACTATAAGTCTGATCTTCACCTTGTAGGTAGAGACATTGTCTTTATTGCGACGTATCATTCAATGCATGACAAAGTTACAGCCCGACATGAATGTGTGTACCTATAAACTCTAATTGTGATAAAGTGAACTTCAAAATAAAATTGTGACATTGACCTTTGAGGACGTGATTTTTGGACGCGACACATCGTCTTTATGTGGTAGACATCTATGCCTAGTTATTTCAGAATCATTCTATGCGTAACAAAGTTATTAAGTCTGGACACGTATGTGTGTACCTATTTACTCTAATTGCGATAATGTGAAACTTCAAAATGATTGTGTGACCTTGACCTTTGAGGTAGGGACGTGGTTCTTAGACACAACACATCATCTTGATGCGGTAGACATTTTGCCAAGTTATTTTAAAATCCCTCAATGTATGACAAAGTAACAGTCTGGACACGAATGAAGTGGAGACGCACAGATGGACGGACGTAGTTGTATTGGAATACATGTACTGGTATATCAACTTGAAACAAACAAAAAGAAAACATTTTTTACCTGTTTTTGCTCTGTTATAACTGCCTCAAGTTCAGTATACTTTCTTGTCTGTTCCTCTCTTTCTTGTGCCAACTGTCTTTCAAGTTCAATAAATTTATTTTTCAGCTCCTCATATTCCACTTTAGTTGCAGCATTTTCAGTAAATTCCCGCATTTTTGTCATTTCATCTTTGATTTGTTTCAAAATTTCTTCAGAGCATTCAGTAGTGATAACAAAGTCTTTTTGCTTTAGCTGATGAAAAAAAAATGTAGAGATAAAATGTAGCTATATCACATAGCAACATTTTTATTTCAAAATTACCACAATTGTTTTTTTTATTTTAACTCTCATACTTTTTCCGAGGGCTTCAACAATCTGCTTTTAAGGCAGGATGTGTGGTATAGTCATTTGATTGCCAGAATTCTCTATTTTCTTCACCATTTGTTTTTCTTACCTGTTACTAACAAACTTAGATCTATATTCTTTATATTTACACTCTGTGGGTATTTTTATTTGATTTCATCATGATAAGTTAACTTAAGGCAGTTGTTACTTAAAATTCACTAAAATAAATTAACCACTTGGAGCACTTTTTTCTATTTAACTCTGTAAATTTAGTAAAATGTGCTTATTTAAAATTATGATAATTTAACTCTATAAAGATTTCAAACTTATAATTTATTATATACACTTACATCTTGGAGTTTCAGTACAGCTTGTTGTGCAGCTGGTTGATGTACAAGTTCCTTATTATCTTGTAGAACTGCAATCATGTCATCTAAGTAAATATTAGCCTCACTTTCCTCTAATTCCATGCTGCTTGAGTGGAAAATCATGTTTCTATACTGACGTACCTATTGAATGAAAAACAAATAATACAACATAGTTATAGGGGTGTATCACTTAATTACACTCAGAGTTAAATGGACATTCTTTTTTATGCTTTGTTGCTGTATAAATAGAGTAGTTAACTTACAATGAAGCGTAAAATACCATGGTATCTACATTATTTAACAACATCATTGCAAAGGAACAGCAAAATATGCCAGAATAAATAAGGCTTAGTAATCAAGGATCAAATGTGCTTGAGTTATCAAGAATAATTTTTCACATAGAGAAAAGCCCCAACATTCTACAGAAATAAAAGAACATTATAATTAAAGTATATAAATCATTAAATGATTAAATTTACCTTTAAAAAAAGATTGTTTGGTCCTGTAACATTGCATCCAATATGACTATGAAAGTACTTGTTATTTATGATAACATGAAGCAACCCAGTGCAATCAGTGTCGTCTGTTGATGTCTTGTCCTTGTACCCAGGAGCATTTATAAAACATTTGCAAACCTCCCAAGGTTCTGTCGACCACTGTTGGACATCACTGTTTTTCCAAAAAGGTGCCGGTGGCATTGATGCATGATCCTGTATAATGCTGTCATAGATGGCACCACATACGTTGTTTGGACAGGGTCTCTTATTACTTGGAAAACAACAGTTACATTTATCTTGTTTGAGGGGACATATCCCTTTTGAGACTCGGACATGGTCTGGCTGGAGAGTTGTTATCTGACAGGCGCCACATGGTATGTTTGGTTGAGGAGTCTTTGTTTGTTGTATTTTGTTTATAATATCGTTGTGCTGCTGTCTTCCTATGTCATCACAAAATGGCGCAAGTCCCTCTTTAAGATAACCCAAGCCTAGGCCAGCCTTAACCCACTGCCGGTATTTGTTGTTCTTTAAATGTATCTCATGTGCCATCTTGATTTCTAGAAAGAAAAACAATATTTTTAGCTACAATTTGTAAAAATCCAAGGAAAACCAACTATCACTGATCACAAACACTTGTACATGTATGCCCTGAAAGCTGGGTCCAGTTAAAGGACCATGAACTTTGACTTATAATGAAGTCATTGTTACAATCTCTAGAGGGCCATATTGGCCCTGAGATTTGCTGTTAGAAATGGTCAAATACAGAAGTAGATATTATTTGGGCCACATTGAGCAGCCGAAATCAATTCAACAATTTCTAGTCACATGGTGGAGTCACTTGGTGGAGTCACGTGGTGAAGTCACTTGGTGGAGTCACATGGTGGGGTCACGTGGTGGGGTCACGTGGTGGAGTCACGTGGTGGAGACAAGTGGTGGAGTCACGTGGTGGAGTCATGTTGTGGAGTCATGTGCTGGTGGTGTCACATGCTGGTGGTGTCACGTGCTGGTGGTGTCACATGGTGGTGGAATGTGGTGGTGACAAGGTCTTGTCCTTAAGTATGTTCTGTTATAATATGAAGTTGATCCCTTCAATAATAGCAAAGTTACAGCCAGTTACAGCAAAAACAATGAAAAGGTCAAGGTCATTTATGAGTGAAGGTCAAATCCATTCAAAAATAACAAAGTTACAGCCAATAATAGCCAAAAAAATGAAAATTTCAATAATTTGACCTTCATAGTCAAGATCATTTATGAGTGAAGGTCAAGGTCTGTCTGGTTATTTATAAGGGTTATCCTTAAAGATTATTATGTTCAAGTTTCAAGACAATCTATTCAAAAATAACAAAGTTACAGCCAACAATAGCCAAAAAAAATTAAATTTCATTAATTTGACCTTCAAAGTCAAGGTCATTTATGAGTGAAGGTCAAGGTCTGTCGGGTTATTTTTAAGGGATATCCTTGAAGATTATTATGTTCAAGTTTGAAGACAATCCATTCAACAAGAGGGCCATGATGGCCCTGAGGTCGCTCACCTGTATATAGGCCCCCCCAAAACCCCCCCCACCCCCCCCAACGTTGCAGAGCCAATTTAACCCAAGGGCTTTTATTTGCACAAACTTGGTAGATACCCATAAGAAGATGTTTCATGCTAAACATTTAAGCTCTAGCTCATTGGGCTTTTTAAAAGAAGATTTTTTTAAAGTTTTTACTATACACATATAGTTAAAAACAATGACACCCCTGGGGCCGGGCCAGTTTTGACCCCAGGGCTTTTATTTGAACAAACTTTGTAGACACTTACTAGAAGATGTTTCATGCTTAATATCTAAACTCTAGCTATTTGGTTTTTTTCAAAGAAGATTTAAAATTTTTGCTAAACACATATAAAGAAAATCAATGACCCCCGGGTCGGGGCCAATTTTGACCCCTGGGCTTGTATTTGAACAAACTTGGTAGACACCTATTAGAACATGTTTGATGCTCAATATCTTAGCCATAGCTCTTTGAGTTCTTTAAAAGAAGATTTTTTAAGTTTTTACTATATGCATATAGGGAATATCAATGACCCCTGGGGCGGGGCCAATTTTCACCCCAGGGCTTTTATTTGAACAAACTTGGTAGACACCCATTAGAACATGTTTCATGCTAAATATCTTAGCTCTAGCTCTTTGGGTTCTTTAAAAGAAGATTTTTTAAGTTTTTACTATATGCATATAGGGAAAATCAATGACCCCCCGGGGCGGGGCCAATTTTGATCCCAGGGCTTTTATTTGAACAAACTTGGTAGAAATCCATTAGAACATGTTTCATGCTAATTATCTTAGCTCTAGCTCTTTGGGTTCTTTAAAAGAAGATTTTTTAAGTTTTTACTATATGCATATAGGGAAAATCAATGACCTCTGGGGCGGGGCCAATTTTGACCCCAGGGCTTTTATTTGAACAAACTTGGTAGACACCCATTAGAACATGTTTCATGCTAAATATCTTAGCTCTAGCTCTTTGGGTTCTTTAAAAGAAGATTTTTAAGTTTTTACTATATGCATATAGGGAAAATCAATGACCTCTGGGGCGGGGCCAATTTTGACCCCAGGGCTTTTATTTGAAAAAACTTGGTAGACACCCATTAGAAGATGTTTCATGCTAAATATCTTAGCTCTAGCTCATTGGGTTCCTTTTTAAGAAGATTTTTTAAAGTTTTTACTATATGCATATAGGAAAAATCATTGACCCCCCGGGGCGGGGCCAATTTTGAACCCAGGGCTTTTATTTGAACAAACTTGGTAGACACTCACTAGAAGATGTTTCATGCCAAATATCTAAGCTCTAGCTCTTATGGTTTTTTAAAAGAAGATATTTAAAGTTTTTTCTTTTGGTTGCCATGGCAACCAGAGTTTTGCATGGAATTAAATTCTTTGAACAATTTTTAAAGGTGACCACCAAAGGAACATTCCTGTGAAGTTTGGATGAAATTGGCTTAGTGGTTTATGAGGAGATGTAATTTAAAGTAAAAGTTTACGGACGGACGGACGGACGACGGACGGACGCCGGACGAAAAGCGATCACAAAAGCTCATCCTGTCACTTTGTGACAGGTGAGCTAAAAATAACCAAGTTACAGCCAATAACAGCATGAACAAGCAAAATTTGGACTTTTAACCTTGAAGGTCAAGGTCATTTTTGGATGAACGTCAAGATTAGTGTAGTCTACTGAAAGGTCTTGTCCCAAGGGTTGTTGAGGCCAAGTATGAAGACAATACACCAAGAAATAAACAAGAGCACCGCTAGGCGGAGCATTATATGCCCGAATGTACTTAAGCTGTAGGTTGATTAATGCTCGAGTTATTGAGCGAAAACTGTTTCCAGTTTAAAGGTGATAGTAACCTTGATCTTTGACATTGTGATCCCAAAGTCAATAGGGGTCTTCTACCCTATATGGACAATCATCCTATGAAGCCTGTCGACCAAATGGAACTTAAGTTATGCAGCGCCCGAAATCATTTTCAGTTTAAGGATAATAATGACCTTGGCCTTTGACTTTGTGACCCCAAAATCAATAGGGGTCCTCGACCCAATATGGCAATCATCCTATGAAGTTTGAAAACTGTGGGCCAAATGGAACTTAAGTAATGCTCTTGAAACCATTTTCAGTTTTACGGTAATTGTGACTATGACTTTTGACCTTCTGACCCCAAAATAAATAGGGGTATTCTGCCCAATATGGACAATCATCCTATTAAGTTTGAATACAGTGGGCCAAATGGAACTTAAGTTTTGTTCCGGAAACCATTTTCAGTATTTAGCTAATAGTGACCTTGAACTTTGACCTTGTGACCCCAAAATCAATAGGGGTCTTCTACCCAATATGGCCAATCATCCTATGAAATTTGAAAACTGTGGGCAAATTGGAACTCAAGTTATGCTCCAGAAAGCATTTTCAGTTTTACGGTAATAGTGACCTTGACCTTTGACCTTGTGACCCCAAAAGCAATAGGGGTCTTCTACCCAATATGGGCAATCATCTTATTAAGTTTGAATACTGTGGGGCAAATGGAACTTAAGTTATGTTCCGGAAACCAATTTCAGTTTTACGGTTTATAGTGACCTTGACCTTTGACCTTGTGACCCCAAAGTCAATAGGGATCTTCTACCCAATATGGCCAATTGTCCTATGAAATTTGAAAACTGTGGGTCAAATGGAACTTAAGTTATGCTCCGGAAACCATTTTCTGTTTTATGGTAATAGTGACCTTGACCTTTGACCTTGTGACCCCAAAATCAATAGGGGTCTTCAACCTAATATGGTTAATAATCCTATGAAGTTTGCATACTGTGGGCCAAATGGAATTAAGTTATGCTCCGGAAACCGTTTTCAGTTTTACAGTAATAGTGACCTTGACCTTTGACCTTGTGACCCCAAAATCAATAGGGGTCTTTTACCCAATATGGGTAATCATCCTATGAAATTTGAATACTGTGGGCTAAATGGAACTTAATTTATGCTCCGGAAACCAAATTGCTTACAGACGGACGGACGGACGTACGGACATACCATCTTTTGACATTTATGAGGCAAATCAGCTCATAAACACCACCTGGACCAACGTCCAAAAGCAAAATTAGCTCATAAAAACAAAAAATATCTCTTAATTTGAATTTTATGAGTTTTTTTGTTGTTTATTTAACTACGGAATGAAGCTCATACCCAAACCAAAAGGAAAGCTTGCGGCAAGCTTGCTGCAAGCTTGTCACAAGCTTACATTGGCTATTTATGCTTGCTGTAAGCTTGCTGTAAGCTTGCGCAAGCTCGCCAGTAGTTTCATACAGAATCCTGCAAGCTTGCGCAAGCTTACAAAACAATTTTTATCGCAAGCTTGCGCAAGCTTCTTCGAAAGTTTAGACTTAGAAAATTATGTGAAAGCAGGAAAATGAAAAGTAGTGAAAAATTTCTAAGTACAAAAACTTGGAAATGTTTATAAAATCATTTCACTCAAACTAATTAGCATTTATATAATATAATGGGATTCAAATGAAAACATTTATTTCATAGATTTTATTTGCCTGTCTTACATTCTTTGTTTTTAAGATTCATATAACTTCATCAATTTGTTTTTAATTACTCAATAGTGTTATTAAAATTCTTATTACTTTCTCAAAATTATTAATGAATGCCTTGTCAAAAATTAGAGGTTCACTTGAGACATCTGGATGATGTTCAGTAAAGAAAAGAAAATCACCCAAAATCAAAATGAAAGAGGAAATCAAGAGTGTTAATTCAGCTTATAAATTTCTAATTAATTTAGCTTTCAACACAATCAAACTAAGATAAGGTCAGTATTTTAAATTAGTTATTATGAAAGTTAACAAAAGTCATATTTTTTAACAATTGTGAACATACAAGCAAATATAATGAACATTTTATTTTGTCTAATGGCTATTTTTTTTTTATTTCAATCATTGAATGTTAATTTCTTTTATTCATGTGTCTTTTAATTTTTAATTCATTAGCACAAGTATATCCCTTCTTAAATATTAACTATCTTGTGCAGAAGTTAAGTATGGCATAATTAAGATTCA